TTGGAAGGGTGTTGGTTTCTACCTGTAGAAAATATTGATCTCTCTCACCTTTGTCTTGACCACCATTATATCCACCGCCTTTACGAGCATTTCCTTTGCCCTTGTGCATGGGCAGCAGTGGTTGCTCCTTCCTGTAATGTGGATACTGCATGTAAGGCACCTCTTTTCCAAGGTACTGTTGCTGGGGAAAGCCTTCTTTGCCCATGCCCATATGTTGGTGATGCTGCACTGGCTGGTATGCCTGAGGGTGTTGCTTGTGTCCGTAGTATGCCCCACCACTCACATAAGTCAGTGCTGCTAGCTGTAGCACAGTAAGGGAGAAGGGGACAGGGAGGGGAGCCATGGCCAAGATCTGAATAGAAGAAAGAGAACAGAAGATATGAGGCAGCAGTTTATCTCTTCTTCAGTTCTGTTTGCTATTACAGTTTTAGCACTTCTTGAAAAATCAAGAGAACAAAGTCAGGAAACTTGTTTGCAAAGTGTAGGCAGTTGAAGGTCACACTCTTTCTCCCTCTGCTGGTTATACATTGGAACTATGCATCGGTCTCGTGAACAGTGGTATGTGTTAAGTTGTGGACTTCATGTGAAAGACCTTTTAGGAAGTGAAATGACATTCAGAAAAGGATTTTGGAAAGTTTTCCTCTAGGGAATAATTTCTCAGACATATATCTTATTGCCTTTTTCTAAATTGGACAACCACTAACTCACAGCTAAAAATATGAAATAAGTGTGTGAGCAATTTTGATTGTGTGTTCTTCAAAAGATGTTATAACATTTTCGGATGTGTTGAAGTTATACAATATTGTTATTTATCTTACTTATCATCCCACTTAATTTGCTTATTTATGATCTTTGTACTCTATTATTTTAGTGTTAGTTGGACACTTTGATTCTAAAGTGAAATGTGTATGGTAAACTGTGGTATGCCATTGTGGTGTCACTCTCACAGAAGGGGCTGGAGGGAACTTTCTACAGTTGTCCACAAGAGGGCATCAAAATAAACTTCACACTTCTAAATTTCACACTGCTGCTCAAATGTTGGGCTGAAACTTTTATTTCAGATAAATAGATTGTAATCTTGAATTGTCAGAGAAAACTGTCACATGTTGGGGAATTAATCACTTCTATTATCTGAGTTGCCAGCCACAGATTTCACCTTTACAGAGGTAAGATCTGCAGTCCTGTAACATACTGATGTGCACATTATTACACATTTGTCAAAGGTCAGTTTGGACAATGTTCACGATGGGAGGATTTAAATAGCTTTTGTTGTAAATTAACAAGATGTGTGGTGACAGTGATTTTAGATCATTTGCTTGACTCTTGAACTTTTAAGTTTTAGTTAGTGGGTTAATTATTTCTGTCACATCTTAGCTAATGCACTGGTGTGTACACCACTTCCATTGGTATTAATAGGAGCATTCTTGATGTTCCTGCATTGATTCAATCACAAGACAATAAAAATCCTGATTAATGGCATGAAAATGAAAGTTAACAGATGATGATAAAGGAAGGTGAACAGCATTATTAATGACTTTTATTAGCATTCAGACATCTGGTCCAACAAGTACATTTCTGAGAAAACAGTCTTCGTCCTGCTGGGCAGTTCAGCTATTTACTTTATTCACCTCTGACCTTTCTGCTTTAAATGGTTAGCAATGGAACAAGGCAAAGGAGTTTTTCATTGGCTCCACGGCCCATGATTAAGACTTTCAGTTGTGTTATTAAATCATTCTTTACAACTACCATCTTAGTTGTCGCATCTCCTGCCTCACTCTCACTCTCCAGGTTCAACCGTGATTACAGTTTTATTACAGCCAAGTCGTCTGTAGCTTTTCTAATTCACATCCTAAACCACATCCTCACTGTCGACTCCATCACTGGCTCTTTGGATCTCTTCACTCTTTCACCTTTTCTCAGTCGACTGGTGATTTTGACATGGCCGTGCCACTGTCTCCCTTCATGAGAACTGGCCTTTGAAGGAAGCCCACCTAGTTTCCACTGCAAGAGAGGCCAGACATGCCCAAGAGTCCAGAGGAATGCCACTGATTTTCTCCCCACAAGAACTGGAGCCTATTTTTGACCACTGGGCGGAAGCTGCAGCCTCAGTGAATGTAGGTCTGCAGACAGAAGTGCAGGAATGGCAGGTAGAGTAAGTCTCTGAGAGTCACACAGAGCATTTAGCTTTACCCATTGTCTGTGTGAGGCTGTGTTAACGTCCCGGGGGCACAGATTGATGCTACGTAGGACGAGACAGATAATGGAAACTAATGGAAAAGACGGAGCTGGGGGAGGATGTATATTGATTTGTTAATACCATTATAACTTTTCTCATTAGTACAATTATCTTTTAGAATTGGTTTCATTAAACCAACAAAGAACATTGATAGTTCTTTAGAAAAGGTGAAACTACAGACTTGTATCCACTATATTTAGCAAATGAAAGACTTGTGAGAGGTGGGAACTGGGTGTGAGAGTCAGAAGAAAGAGATGCATTGACACTGAGTCAGTTGTATGGTTAAAATAATCAGACTCGTTTCACAACAAGCACTCAGAGCCAAGAAATCCAGAAAGTTTGGGGCAAAACAGAAAAGCTTTCATGACACAAAAGGCCACACATGCAGCGGAAAGATTTAACTACAACAAAATGTCCAATCTTAAATAAGAGGAGGATAATTTTCATGATACCAAACAACTAGTTTTATTCACATATGTATTAAAATATTGAAATGTGTTTGTATGTATGTGTACACAAAAACGTTTTACATTTAATGTAAGCGTTCAGCTGAATGTGATCATGCAAATATACATAAAGAGGTTTTACTACCTTTTAGGAACGTCCCAGCTCAGTGTTGGTATGTATGAATGTATGGGTGTTTTTAAAGGGGCTGGAAAAATAACAAAACTTAAACTACATATCAGAGGGACCCATACAACGAGGGTCTGTTCGATGTCACATAGCAACGCCATAACATTGTCATGGCAACCGCAGAGTGATGGAAACACCTTCCCTCTTCACCTGCTGTGCTTTTCTCCAGTACATTATTCTACATAGGTGTTGCCTGCGAGTGACTTGTTCACACAGAGGAGCCGTTTTCAGACGCTGACATAAACATTAACCAGCAATTTCCATGTTTTAACTTGTTATTAGACTAAACAGGAAAAGAGAAGGCAGCAGTTACAACAAAGTGACTATAGACGACTATTATGCACCTTTACATTCACCTCTAAGTGCTAGTGTCATCCCTCCATCGATATTCATGAAGTCACATGTGACTATGTGACAGCTGAGAGAAGTCGTGACTAACTTGATGTGAGCTGTTTCTCACGTGTGTAAGATTTACAGTTAAGTTTTTTCACACGCTGGTGTAAAACATTCTGGCTCCAACAGTGATGACTCTCTGACAAGAGGTCATTCGTAACAGTGACAGGAACAGGAATAGCAGCCATGGTCTACATTTTCATAGCAGGCAGATCTCACCACCAGTGTGTTATTCACTTCACACCCTGTCCACACTGTTTATGAGACAGGAGAGGACACGCACATGCACGGTTGTGCACATATATGAGAATTGCAGACATATGCACATACACACAAATCATGCGATGGACGCATACTTTTTTGGACTTTAACTGAAATAATTTCAAAACCAAATTAGAACCATTTCTGAAGAGTAATATATTCACAACGCTCCAAAATTAATGGTGTATTTGTTCTAATTTATATTTTCTGTATATTTATATCTCATTGAACAATATAGTTTTTTTTTAAACAAGATTAAAAGTCTACAGCCTTGCCAGCAGCTACTATGTTTAACATGTAGTAGTATGGACTGTAAAGATGGATGCCATGACTGCTCCCCAAAAGTGAAGCCAATGCATAGGAATCGCCACCTGGTGGTTGGCTGCAGATGGTACATAGAGTCCACATTAAATAAATTTTTCTCAAACATGATTTCCGTCATTAAAGGTAGTTATTATTTATGTTCACGAGATTGGTCGAGCCTGTGGATCACCAGGACCTCACAACCAATTGACATCATTAGCGTGAGATGTCTGTGTTGAGTCCATCAGGGATACTCTGGCTTCATGTCTGGACAGTGGGAGCAAGTGGAGAAGCATCATCCATCTTTATTTTCAGTCTTAGTGTGTAGTTAATGTTAGTAGCATGTTAATGTTTGCAAGTGCTAAACACAAAGTAGAGCTCCAGCTGATGGGGATGTGCTTCATTTTGTGGGTATTTGGTCATTAGGTTAAGTATTGGACAAACTGCAATTGTGACCTGATGATGTCCCTGAGGAAAAGCCAGGGGGTAACAGACATTATTACAGTTAGTGGGGTGAACATGGTGCAAGATTAAAATAACAAAAGGTGCTTGGGCTCATCCTTTGGGGACCGTGAATGTTTAACATCCAAGGTCAACTTTTTTAACATTTGCTCAGGCTGTAAAAGCTCCTAACATCTGCAAAGCATCATTTGAATATAGAAATATCAAAGTAAAAATTCTACAAAATGATTCTGTCTTACTTTTTTCACACCCACTTGTTCCCATCCCATTATCCTAACACATTTAGCCAACACATTTACTATTAGACAACAACCCAGAGGGAAAAATATCTGTGGTTTCAACATCTGCTGCCAGAATCATGTGTGGTTGGTCATACACCACTGAGCTCTCAGCACGTCCAGCCTGGGCCAGACAGCCTCAAAAATAAGCAAACCTCAGAGTCGTCTACATCATGTGTCTTTATGCACCACGTGTGTATGAACACTCGTGTGTGCCTCTGCTTCCTCGACTACTTCCAGATGTCCATCTTCTTGACATTTTACACAAACGGAACAGTGAACTGTCCTTCAGGTGTGCGACTCAGGAAATGATATAAGCTGTTGTTTTTGCTGAGTCAACCTTCATCCAGCGGAAGAGGAGGTGACGCTGCAGTGTATGCGAGCTGCGATCTCCACAAAGACCAAAGAAAGTATAACGTCATAAAAAGTACAGCGAATCAACATCAACCTCCTCTGTGCTCGTGATTTACTAATACAGGAAAGTGTTGAGGGAACACCAGGCAGCAACATCCTTCTTCCACAAAAGCATTTTTTCAACTCTCCTCTGACCAAGATGGAAATATTAGCTGTGTCTACTACCCTCACATCTCCAGACACATCTGTCCGTCCCCCCTCCAGACACCTCTCTTCTCACCGTCTCCACTTCTTCCTGCATCTCTGTGCGAACAGAGCCGCGTCTGTTCTTCAACGGCTTCACCCTCTATCTCACTTCTCTCCTCTCTGTCTCCCTCTGTCTGTTTTCCCTCATTGGCCTTTTTTCTCCCCTTTGGAAACATCCAGGTTCAG